CTTTTCACTTCTTACATGGAAGCATGCTCCGCATTATTAATAAGAGCGCCAAGCAATTTTGAGCAATTCTATAAACCTACCCCTCAAAAACGAGTGGGTCGTTTTTAGGATTGGTCTGGGGACATCTGAGTGGATATCCACTCAGATAAGAAAATTCCTCCTCTCTTCGCAAGAAACTAGTGTTTGTATTGTTAAATGTAAACTATCCCTTTCGTCCCAGGGTCCAAATAGCTTTCCCTGGGTGTTTACGCGTTTAGCAATCCACCAGCGTATCCAATAGGTCGAAATCCTCCAGGGTTCTCAGGGGTTTTGACCTTACCTTTGATCATATCGACCGATCCGATAATCCCCCGGAACTTGGTTCGCAAGGATTTAATGGTTCGGTTGAAGCCGTACTTAGCGCCGCGAACATGCTTGAAATGTATGAGCTTGCTCGCAGCGTAATGTCATCATTGGCCTGAACGCGGGCGACTTTTGCTGCACGAGGTGCGGCTCTTTATGAAGGTTCGACCCTCTTTGAACCAATATGCTGCATCCCATGGCGGCGTTTACAGTCATACAGACTTATGACGACCGACGGAGTCTGCAGCCTTGTCAGTCGTCAGATCAATCAGGATACGCCTACAGTCACACGGCCACCAAACAAATTGGAACACACAGGAGTACCAGCTTATACGTTGTCGGCGGCTCATGATGCAAGAAGAGGTTATGCTTGCGAGCAGACCCGTGGCTGAAGATATTGGTAATGCTCTCGCCAATGTTGAAGCTCGAGCACAGCAGCATGCTGGCATGGAGAATCGTTTGAACGCGTTCAGGAGTTCCACGTGCGGGATACTCGCTGACATTGAATCGAGGTTCTAGAAGCACTTTGAGAATGTACTAAGAACTACACATTCAGAGGATTTGCCGTCACTTAATGATTCAGCTCGCGACACTCACAATCAAATAAACTATGCTGATGACCGAGTTGGACAGGCTCATCTTCAGCTTGAAGCAGGTTTTGAAAACTACGAGTCCAAAGATCGAGCTAGCCAAGAGGTCGCTACCGCAGCACAATTAGAAGTATGTCAAGCACAAATCTCGGAATCACAATCAAACACACGTGACAGGCTTTCCGAATCAGTCAGTGGTCAGACCTAGACTCGAGTTTGTGAAGTTGAGTCTTTCAGCAAGAAACTGCGACAGCGAGAGAGATGCCATTGATCGAGTCAGCCAGTCGGAAAACCGTTTACAGATCAAACTAGACGAAGCTATCGAAGATTTAGCTGATTCATGCGTTTGATTAACAACTATGATTGCGACACAGCCCAAAAGCTTGTTAGCATTGTCGATAACAAAGCCCAAGCGAGCGAAAGCCACCTATGTGGTGTTATTGGTCTAGAAATCACGAAATTGAATAATACAATGAACAGGCAGCCGCGGAATGTCGAACGTCAGAGCGGCCGGATCGTTTTGGAGCAAGTATAGGTAATCATATTGATGCCTTTCAGCTTCGTGCTCACCGCGATTTACAGATCGGTATCGACTTAAGCGTTTCGAAAATGAAGCATCAGTTAAGCACTGCCATTCCAACGAGGTTACGTATGTGCTGTACGGTGGAAAAACTTCTTGAGCAACCAAACACTTAAGGATGTCCACCAAATCCCTGCTGTGCGTGAGCAATTCGAGACTCCAAAATAGAAACGCCGACTGCTTGGTTCGCTGCGAGGTTGAAGGCTGAAGCAAATTGTTTACTTGTTAGTCATATTCAGTCGCACACGGTTGGTCTACTAAGTGATGAACTTGAACACCCCATCTGTATATAAATGATCGTTCAGTAGAACCTTGAGCTCAAGTTCGAATCCAGTTCTTCGCTGGTTATTGCTCTCAGCGTGATCGCCTTGGCAAGAGCACCAGCTCCAGAACGATGAGAGGAGGTTGTGCAGTCGGTGCTAGCCGTATCGACCAAACAGAACCGCGATTTATCGAGTTACCTCAATTCACTCCAGCACCTTGCTGGAGGGATTGATGTTGCTAGTCAGAAGTTGTCAAATGATTTCGTGCAAGACGTAGACGCTCTCGAACCAGCATCGTTCAAGAGTGGGGCGGGTACCATTGCCAGGTGTTGGAGCCATTTCTGGATGAAGAAAATTTGTGTGACTGTCTGTGAAAATTCGGTGATGTTCATGCCCCACACGAAGTGATAAGTTGGATAGTTGTGAATCAGGGGCTTGTATACGCTGTGTCACTGTAATTGGCACATCAGGAGGCATTGAAAACACTTTGAGCTTGTGGTCCTTCGTCTGAACGCAACGACATAGTCTTTCCTTCAGTATTCGATTCTCTTTGAAATGATGGAGATCCACGTGGAGTTGACGGTTCGAACTCGTTATCGTCTGAAGACGCAACACGAACGGCCCATTGCTGGCAGGTGAGCAACTGCTGGCGATTGTTTGCTGACGTGAGTAGGAAAAAGGAATCCTCAAACTGAGAATGGACACCAGATGTGCAACTATTACTCTCTTGTTCTGCGTCTTTCCAGCAGCGAGAGGGCAAGAACCTTCCCCATT